CCGGCTTCGCAATGTCCCATCATTGATCCAGACTGGGAGAAACCAGAGGGAGTGCCCATCGATGCTATCATCTTCGGCGGTCGTCGCCCAGAGGGCGTTCCCTTGGTTATGGAATCGTATAGTTGGCGACATGGTGTATTCTTGGGCGCTTGCATGCGCTCCGAAGCCACTGCGGCCGCTGAACACAAGGCAAAAGTGGTGATGCATGATCCATTCGCGATGCGTCCATTCTTCGGATACAACTTCGGCAAGTACTTGGAACATTGGCTAAGCTTTCAGCAAAAACCTGGTCTCAAGTTGCCGAAAATTTTCCATGTCAATTGGTTCCGTAAAGATGCTAATGGCAAATTTATGTGGCCCGGTTTCGGTGAAAATTTGCGTGTGCTGGACTGGATTTTACGGCGATGTGATGAGGAAGTGCCCGCGGTTGACGGCATCGGTGGCCGCGTTCCAAGACCTGAAGATCTCAAGATGGATGGTCTAACCCCATCATCATGTATCATCATGTATCGTCACAGATCTCAGCACACCTCGATGAGGAAGGACACAGTGTTAACTGGGACAAAACAGAAATTCTGGCGCACGGAGGGACAAGAAAAGGAAGGGAATTCCTCGAGGCATGGTTCTCTACGGAGAATTCCCTGAACCTCCGCATTGATCTCGATCCCGTGTACCTACAGCTGAGAAAGCGTGAAGCTGGACGGCTAAGTATCGAACAAACGAAGGTCACGGGACACAGATCGACGAGGCTATTTTCAAACGCTACGTCCCAACGACATTTTCCGTGAGATTTCCCCTACGGAGCTGTACACTGAAGATGCCACTGAGGGAAGTGGTGAAACGTTTGACATTAAATTACTCAGCTCGGAGAACGAATCAAAACGTTAATTACGAACCCGAGCTACAGGTATTCCGAATCATTGCAAACAATCATGGGCGCTCGACGCTCCGATCTGCACGCCGTTGGGAAGACTTTGCCTGCCGTAAAGCCTCCACACAAGAACAGTTATTCTTCCTCCATGAATGCCTACGAAATGACATTCTCCCCAGAAGTGTAAACTACAAGCCTCCGATAAACCATCCGCAAGCGTGGGCAGTTGCAAGGCAGTTTGGAAAACGTATGGTGAGGATGATGATCACAGATGCACACAATCGGATCGAGAAATATGAAAGATGCCTTAAGGAACACCGAACTACATGCCTAAAAACAGTCGGCCAACAAATGACAGAACAGTTAGACTTAGTGATTGATCGCAAAGCAACAATTGCAAAAGCGAAAAAGCAGGCTGCCCTACGAGAAAAGTTGTCCAAATTGTCCAGCTTGAAGTGCGCAGATGTCAACGATGGTTGGGTCAGGAACCTGTCCAAACGGAATCTCAATGACGTTGAACGACAGGTCCTAATCAAGGGACTTAACTACAACTTCAAGGATGCTGGAACCCTGGACTTCCTAGCAGAATTCGAAAATACCTTACAATCCAATGGACTTAACGAAGAAACCAAAACAGAAATAAGACATGCCGTGGTTCCGATGCTAGCACGCAACAAGCAACACAACTCATTTTCACAACAAGAGAAAAGTGCCCTGAAATCCTTGAAGGCCGACGAAACCATCGTAATCTTGCCTGCGGACAAGGGACGTATGACTGTCATAATGGACAAAACTGATTATATTGAAAAGGCAAGTCATCTCCTAGCCGACACAACAACCTATCGACGTATGGAGAACGATCCAACAGTAGGGTTGACAAATAAAGTGAATAAGACACTTAAGAAACTTCAAGAATTAAGTCAACTCACAAAGGGAGAGTATGAGAGAATGAAGGCTCGTGATCCAAACATTGCACAGTTTTACGGGCTTCCTAAAGTACACAAAGAGGGTGCGCCGCCACGACCAATAGTATCACTCCCAGGTACACCAACTTACAACTTGGCTAAAGAATTATGGAAGGGCCTCAAACATCTGACCAACGGATCGCAATACTCCATCAATAATGCTCATCAGTTTTTGGAAAAGCTCAAATGCATAAGGATAGACCATGAAGAAGTGATGGTATCCTTTGACGTCACCGCACTTTTCACCTCCATCAACTTACAGATAGCGAAAGAAAATATCAAAGAACGTCTGAATAATGGAGGACAAATGACTGGGAAGCTAACAACTGAAAGCATATGCAAGCTACTCGACTTGTGTCTTACTACTTACTTCAAATTCAACGGAGTGTTCTACGAGCAAGTTAGAGGAGCCCCAATGGGATCCCCCATATCTGGACTCATTGCAGAAGTCGTCATGCAGAGGTTGGAAGAGGATATACTCCCAGTCCTTAGTCCGAAATTATGGGTGCGATACGTTGACGATACGTTTGTGATTCTCAAACGCAACCAGCTACAGACCGCACAAGACCTACTTAACAATGCAATGGAAGGCATTCGTTTCACCATAGAAGAGGAGGTGGAAAACCAACTACCCCTTTTGGACCTGCTGGTCACCAGAACGGTGGAAGGCGAATTACAGACATCAGTTTACAGAAAAGCAACACACACCGACCAAATCCTAAACTTTAACAGCAATCACCCTAAGTGTCACAAAATAAGCTGTATACGGACCCTGTTTCGTAGGATAGAAACGCATTGCAATACTGCAGAGGCAAAACGTAAGGAAGAAGAACATCTGTTTAGGTCTTTCATTCGTAACGGCTACCCACACAGTTTCATCCGAAGACACCTAAACCGAAGGAGCACAACTACCACACCTGCACCAACGACGACGAAACACATCGCCTTACCGTACATCAAAAACATATCGGAAAAGACAGCCAGACTCCTCAAACCGCACAACCTGACGATAGCTCACATACCAACTGGGACTTTGAAAAGAATATTATCTAGACCTAAAGAACGACTGGAGGCACAAGAACACCAAAATGTCATCTACAGGATAAAATGCGAGAATTGTGACAAAGACTATGTAGGTCAAACGGGGAGAAAACTATCCACAAGAATAAAAGAGCACAAGCGTGCGTGTCGATATCATCATGTATCGTCACAGATCTCAGCACACCTCGATGAGGAAGGACACAGTGTTAACTGGGACAAAACAGAAATTCTGGCGCACGGAGGGACAAGAAAAGGAAGGGAATTCCTCGAGGCATGGTTCTCTACGGAGAATTCCCTGAACCTCCGCATTGATCTCGATCCCGTGTACCTACAGCTGAGAAAGCGTGAAGCTGGACGGCTAAGTATCGAACAAACGAAGGTCACGGGACACAGATCGACGAGGCTATTTTCAAACGCTACGTCCCAACGACATTTTCCGTGAGATTTCCCCTACGGAGCTGTACACTGAAGATGCCACTGAGGGAAGTGGTGAAACGTTTGACATTAAATTACTCAGCTCGGAGAACGAATCAAAGCGTAATCTTCATCTTCATTCTGACCAACTCGCAGACTCGATCCTAGATTGGAATTCTGGCGTCTTCCTGAAGCAACGTTTCGCATGTCTAGTTATCATTCACTAGACACGTTAGATGCAGGTGGAAAACACCTCAGCTATTGTGCCGCAATACAAAAGAAAATTATATCCAACAGAGGCACACCGGCTAAGTCACCAGTAACGAATGGACATCGTTCCGGGGAGTTAACAGCCGTCTATTGTGCCGTAAAATAAGTTATATTATGCTTACTGAATGAGACCGTGGTTGGATAGGGAGGGATAAAGAAACTCACAACACGAACGCCATTGAGGTCGGCTCCTCTCCATGTCAACAATTGTGTCCAACCAGACGTTTTCATCGTCCTTTGGTCCCGAACCAGTGAGCCGACAGGCTTCGACCGGGACTGACTTCAAAGTAAAAGCCCATTCCTCTCGACCAAGTCATCAGTAAGTCCTGAGATCAACTGTTCCGTCATCGTGCATCCTTCAATATTTTTCTGCGAAATAGAAGAGTACTCGCACGGTCGTCCTGTACGATTAAATCTGGTGCTAAAATCATTCAGAAATTCACCACGCTCCTGTTGCATCCTGTAGAACACACGTTACCGTAAACAGGTTCATTTGGGATCTTCAAATGCTATCGAGAGCATTTACTGCATTTGTAACTGATTTTTATCCTTGGAGGTTCAGGTCATCAAGCTGTCGCTGTCCCTGATTCCCAAGCAATTGGCGAAGCAGCTTTAAATTGTTTTCCTTGCTGATTGGTGATTAACTCCAAATAATTATGGAATAAAATTTCCGAGCGAAGCTAGGGATCTGACGTAAGCCTATTTCCACAATCAGTCAAAATGGCGTTTTAAGGCGCTGCTAAATGTTGTATCAGAAAAACGCAGATGTAGCATGAGTATTGTATAAGGCAGCGTAAAACGTACCACCGCTCAGAACGAGACGGGAATCAACTTAAAACTCCTCCAATCGATCAACCCGCATTGAGCAAAGTTCAACCAATCAGGATAAGCCCAGGTTTCTCGAGTCAAACAATGACAACACTCAAGTGTCACAATCGTTGACCTGATGGCGGGAAACAAAGTCACCGGGAAACATTCTGGATGATGAATTCAGCGCGATACTCCTTGCCTTTCTCTTAAAGTAGTGGTATATGGTTTACTCTAGGAATTGTTTGTTCGCTGTTATTTTCTAGCCGTTTTGTCTGTTGTCTGCATATGCTGGTTCTACTTTTTGGCTTTAATGTTATTTCCATGCAAATAACCTTCAACTCCGTTGCCCGTTCCATGGCCCCTCACCATCTCCCGAGAACAATCTGTGTTGTAATATTTGCCTTTGCTAATCTGAGCACTTTCATCCTGAACATCTTCACTCGGAATGTTTTTTAACCTGACTTACCTCTAGCGTCATTATACTTGGCGTGGAAGCGAGGCTCCAGTACCGCATGCTCGTTTACTGCTGTTTATATTATCCTGTGACAGTTGGCGGAAACTATAATCATTCACCTTTCTTACATAGCCCTGGTCCGTATGGTACATCTCCTCTACTATTTGTTCTACAGGGTCTGTATCTTTCTTCGGAATCACGTTCTCAGTTTTCCTCTGGCGAGCAGGTCAATCTGCTCAGTGTCGATGTTAACAGAATCCTTGAGTTCTTCTGTAAGAACCGTTTTTGTTTTCTATGTTCTATTTACTGAGTGCATCTTTTGACTAATGTTGCATCTAGTCAAACATCTATGTATACTGTCCCCACCGTCTTTATTTTTCTGAGTAAATGTGCATTGGTAGAACAACCATACTAGTCGTTCAATCTATCTGTTCCTGTGGTGTCTACTTTCACTCCCAACGAATCGCGAAGGATTTCTCCTGTTGCTACCATTTCTCCGCGTCTCTGCCCTCATAACAAGTATAGTATATTGCTGACCATAAGCCAATGTCTGAGAGGAAATTTTTCGTTTCTATAGAGGGGGTCGCCTTATAAAAAGTTATACGGAATTTGAAAAAAGTCACCTAAAAAACCTACTCAGGAATTCGCTGCCCTTATCTCCCCTCTTAGCCCCTCCCGCTAGTGACAGACGTTATTCTAGACAGGGATTAGAAGCTCCTACTTTGTGTCGAAAATTCTCGGTGTATTGCACTTTTGACGTTCACAACGGATGACAATACCGATTCACAAGCCCTTAAACATTATGTTATGGCAGGCGATCCGGTGCCTTGAAAGCACATCAACCCACACTCCTGACCGTGATGTTCACTCTCAACCACTGCTCTACTGTGCTTCATATGTATGAGGGCCCTGACTATGCTAGGCGGCCTGTCTGACACCCTCTTACCTTACCATATATTGACGGCTGTTTCATGTGATTATAACACATTACGGTCACCACAACTGACCAATAGTAGAGCAGGTTTCACTTGAACTTACTGAAGTGAAAGCACATAGTGATGACGTCAAAAGCGTGAAGAAACAACTTCGTTTCTCCTTTGCTGCTTTTTTAGGGGTCAACTAATGCAGAGAGTTTGAACTTTGGGCATATTTGATGTTACAATGTTATACTGTCGGCTTATCTATGGACGGGCTTGTATTCGGTAGTATACGATGTCCGAATCTCAACTTGTCTATTCGTTTGTTAGGAAACGCTGAATTTACACTTCATCGATTGCATCAGGGTTGGTCGCAGGTTGTTGATCTGAGTACATTGGCAAAATGGCCGTGTGTGACCACCGATGCGTGCGGCACCTTTGCTCATTATCTAATTGGCGAACCGAATATGCTTCAGATCTGCTAGGACCCTGTGTTTTCCACCCACCACTTGTGCGTTGGATGTGACACATCCTTTGTATAGCTCCTGGACGGTTTCTTCGACTTGCTTTCCAACACTTGGTCTTGTAAATTATCCGACCAAAAGTAATGAAGTAGCTTACCGTGACGCTAAGCCGTGTGGTGGTTATCACCATACTAGACAAAAAGCTGCGCTTCACTCCTATCATGGTTATTTTCCTTATCGAGTGTGACCTCATTGCGAAATCGATGGTGCTTTCCCAGTATTTCTTCTCCTTGCTCCTTTCATCTTACAATAATAACGCGTATATTTCTCCTGATGCGAGAAACTGTCTACATTAGCACATACCAATTTGTAAAATAGCATCCATTCTATTCCATGGGCGACGTGTATCATTGGAACTTTGGGATATGTTTTCATGTAGCTACGTTCTGGCGGATGTTTGAGGCCAAAGCCTAGTTTTGAAAACATTGGTGTTTAGTTGTCTTTGAACCCCCTCTTGGAATAGCTCATGGAGGGATTTTTCCCATGTGAATGTAGAGATTATGGTAATTGGCGAGTCTGCCTCTAAATGTTGCCACGTTGTCACATGACCTGAGTTCTATTGGCAGTTTATTCCATAGGAAGAAAGTAGATCGAATGTTCGTTTTAGTCCTTGGTATGTTCATTGTAAAACCTCTTTATTGCGATGCTCTCAAGCTGAGCTATCTTGTGGCTTGCTTGTGCGCAGGTCGGAATAAGTATTTTGTGTAGCACGCTGGAAAGTAGCAACAACTTGTGCTTTAATCCTTGAATCCAAAGTGGTTCGGTAACTCAGCAGAGTGCTTACCATACAACATTTTAGCAAATGACCTATGCAGGCGCTCCACTGCAATGGTCACTCTTTCTCATATTGCCGGATATTACGCTGCAGCATTCGACGATGGGGCGAGTGAGTAGCTTGAAAAGCTCAACTCTGGTGTGATTCGTGTGGATTTTGTTGGGTATATCCAACATAGATTGGAACGTGATACTTGCTACTAGACCTGCTCGGCGAAGTTAAAGGTAGACGCGTGGACAGCTGTGTAGGGATGTGTTCATTGTTTAGTGTGCTAGATCCTTCGGGGATGGAACAGTCGTAAGAGATGTTGCATAGTCTTAGCCGAGAGGTTCATCACCCACATGTGGCCCCATGACTCAAGGGAATGTAAGTCATCTTGAATGAGCAGTAGCGTTCCATGTAATTCGCCACCCTTTAGTCTATAGAGGACGGTCTTGATATCGCCAGCAGATAAAAATGGTCGACCATGTTTACAGATGTGGTGATGTCATTGATGTAGACCAGGAAGAGTGAAGGACCGAGCACACTGCCTTGAATGACCCCACTGGTGATGGAGCGTGGAGAAGAGCGATAGTCACCTGAAGGGACTACTTGTTGGCGACCAATCAGGTATAAGGATCGGCAACATATTAATGTGTCCCGAATCTCAAATTTTCCAACTTTTGTGACGATTGTTTGTGAGGTACTCGGTCGAATGCTTGGCGTATGTTCAGAAACAGAATTACTACCGCATAATCGGGATCGATCGATTCTGAAATGTGACTCAAGCGATGCAGTTGGCAGGTGGTGCACGATCACTTTTTAAGAAAATCATGCTGCAAATTGTTGATCAGGCTAATAAAATCAACAAAGTACATCATCTTCTATCTGACCAATTTTTCAAATTACCTAGCATTTATCGGAATGTGATGGATGGGTCTGTAGCTATCAATCGTTTGTTTGGGACCTCCATTGTGCCGAGGCATGATAAAAGTGGTTTTCCATTGGTCTGGAAAGTTTCTAGATTGCGGCCATGGTGTTAACCTGTTCATCAGGAGCAGTGGTATGTCAGGCCCTCCTGGTTTAGTGGTACTTGGTGAAATGCCATCAGATCACAGCTTGGAAGATGACCTGATTGTTCTCTGTAATGGAATTGAATGATGATGAATACGACGAGTGAGAAGAGTATGAGCCCGACAGATTAGACTTTATTCAGCAAACAAGTGAGGCATATAGGCTGAGGTGAAATGCGGAAACAGATGGGAAATAGGTATTGCTCGTCCGAAACTACTGCAAAACCACGACGCGTTTCGATATCATTTTATCTCATCAGATGGAGATAGCAAGCCTCGAAATGCGGAGAGGCTGTGCTAAACGAGTAATCAGTGGGATGTTTACATATAAATCATTATTTTTTGATATTACTCTCATTTCTGTTGTTTTTCTTAGCACTATTCTATCGAACGTGCGATGTCAATTGCATCAGCGATATTTAGGTGCACAGACTTAAATTGACGACGTCTGCTCAAGCTTGCCTTTTCAAAAATCTCTACACCGTTTTCGTGCTCACTGTTTTATTGTGCCCATAGGACTTTTTGTTCCACCCTACATTGTACTGCGTCTTGTTGTGTTGTTTTAAAATATACTCAGCATCCGATCTATATTCCGGGGACTTACCATAGTTTTCTAAACTACATTATCCGTGTCAGGTGGCGCCGAAGTAGTACCGGTGTTTTTGATGCTCAGCCGAACTTTTGCCAGTAATTTGGTTTGATTTCTTTGAATTATTTTTCTTAACTCACCTTTTGCCTTTATGTCCTGCATTTGCTCAAACGCCTTTCACTACAGTGATTTCCTTTTGTACACTTCAGTGTCATCCTCCCTTGGGTGGACTGCCATCATACAATTCTGCTTGTCCTTCTATTTGCTCTGGGGTCAACTTGATGTGGCCACTCTGGCCGGTCTTGTTTGTCTGCTTCTCATGCTTCCTTCTGGTTTGGGATTTATGTGGGTCACCCAAAAATTTGAGGTGAGTTTTCCTTATCTTCCACACTTGCTCGCTTCAGCGTTCCATACCTGATTATACGCCAACGGTTGGCACCTATATTTGCTGCTCATAGTCAGAATACGCTTTTCTTTTACTCATCTATAAAAAGCCAGTTGCCAGTACGTAGGAGCTATTAAACTGAGTCATCTGCCTTTCTCAGCTTAATGTTTAAGTCGACTTGCTACTCCGGCAGTCCAAATATCCCACATTTTGCTGCACGATCAAATTATTGGTTGGGCTACGTTCATCCTCTTCCAGTCGACATTTTCACATTGTACCGGGACCATTGCCTCGGTTAGCTTTATAGATTAGGATAGATGTGGAATTATTGCATATCTGTTTTTTTTACTCCTGCGTTGTCATGGTGAAAACTAAACATTTGCGGCTTACGTTCTGCAGAAAGTCACAGTGGGCAGCAGTGTTATTGGCCTATGACACTGTCAACCGGTCTACTTGCAAAGCGCCTTTTCGAATGGACCTTCGGGCCATCGTGTGATTCAATCTAGCGGTCAACAAAGTATAGCCATAGAACGCAAAACCCCTGGTGCACTTCGCTTCATCACTGATAATTATTGGAAACAGGTGAAATCGTGGCTTACCATGATACCTCCATGAACACTCGAAGGTCATTTCTTGCCCAATTTCCACTGTCCACTAGGTACATGCGACCAGTTACCGAATACCTTTTGAGAGTATATATATATATATATATATATATATATATATATATATATATATATATATTGAACACGGCCAAGAGTACCATTTACAGAATGCCACACCGTATGGGAAAATATAATAGAGCGATACTAAGGAAATAGATAGGGGATTCAAGGGGGCAGCGTCTCACAACGTCTTCACCATTGCTTACCATTTCCTGACATGTCTGATTGGATTTCTAGCCAAGTGTGTTCATATTCCTTGCGCGCCCAACCGGGCAGTCGGGAGCGCCCGATCACGGCCAAATGTGAAGTCAACGTCTTCATACTTTTGGCCGAAGTCATTTGTGGATGTTTGCTCGCCACCTTATATTCGCTTCCAGCCGACTTCTGTACTCACAAGGAGTGCGCGGTGGGGCAAACGCTCAGTAAGCATGGGAAGTACTTGCCCAAGCCACTGATGCTTATACACTGAAATTATACGGCACAGCGTCCGGCAAATTCCGTCCGATTCGAAAATCCTTGTTTGACATTGGAAATTATTTGCATGCTTTCAAAATATCGCGTCAGTTCATCTGCGATAATCGGCTCCTTCAGTTTTTATACCTCAGGTAGGAGAGTAGTAAGTAGGTAGTTGGCAGGATCCGATCACTTAACTGCTCAGTATACCGGAATGATGATTACACGTTGCAACCCAGATGGGAGTGTATGGTAGTCAAGTAGAGCCTGGAAAAGGCTACAAGATATACTGCTCTGATAGGGTAAGGGTCTTAAGTACCTTCGGGCAGATCTTGTCGATTCCCGAGGTATTTCCCGGAGATGTCGTAATTTGTTTACGGCAGCCACTGTGGTAAAGGTAACGCTGGATAATCCGACGACATTTGTTGGAAGTTGATAAGGCAAAGGTTCCATGCTACCTATAGCCAATAAAGCAAACTGCAGCAGTAGTGCGTCCGCAGTATCCACAGCAGTAGTCCTTAAGCCACTGGCCGTCTTAAGTGATGGTAGTTCAGGTTCAACGGCCGTCTAGCTAGAGGTGTGGTTGCTGTCTACCTGAGTCTAACTGCGGCGCATCTTCACAAAAACCCAATAAATCCCCTTACTAGTTAAAAATGAGGTTTAACCTTATTTTTGCTATTCACGTGGTGTTACTCGTAAACTTGAGTACAATGGTAATTCGTACTTGTCTGCCCCAATGTGTGACGTTCAATAGTTTTAAACTTCTGCCAAGTGGTACCACATGGGGTTACCGTATATTGCCTCCATATCCCATCTCTTCCACTGATCCATTTACGCGTACTGCTTCGGAAACAACTGTGGGTCCGGAGCGATACCCGTACTGGTACAACTTTTGAGACTGTTCGTATTGTAGTGGCGCGGAAGACGAGAATGACAATCGAACTTGGCAAGCCGCAGAAACAAAGGAAGAGGAAAACTAATGAACGTACCAGCGATGTAAGTCGACGGAGGAACTCGAGGTCTACGAAACATGCAGGAAATGGTCTACGAGCAACAAATGCTTTCGAGCCCAGACCGAGGAGAACGGGGGATGTAGTTGTGAACAGCCCGATTTTCTGAGTAGACATGCCTTTGAGCACGCTGTCAGGAATAACCCCAAGGAGAGCTACGCAACGCCGAGTAAGCAAGTTAAGAGCATTAGAACGAATCCAGCCGGTCAGAACACGACAAGCGGAAGCGACGATACCAAGGTAAATCGGTCAAAAGGATATCGTGGATGGACAGACATCCGGACATGAATGTGACAACGAGCGAACGGCAATGTAGGTGCGTGGTTGGTTTTAATTGTTCTCTATACGTGCGCGAGTGTGTGATAGCCTGGGAACACGTTGTGCATTGGCACTAAAGGCTGTGCGTCCCTACTGCCTTCTCCCTACAGTATGACCCACTTCCTTTTAAATTTCACTTCAATTCATGCGTCGTTCGCCGAACTGTGCTGCCGTAGATCCCAGCCAATGGTTGTCGCTAAGTTTTAATGCTTGAAATAATTGGCAATAGTTCGTTGGGTTTTTCGTTCTTCAGCAAAAATGCTGGCATAATACACACAACCAAATGTTAGGACTGGATGGTCGCTGCGGCCTAGTGCGGGGGGGGGGGGGGGACCTGTGCGACTGACTCAACCATGAACCCTTCATTAGTCCGGATTAAGTCCAGAAGCGAGGGCTCGTTGGGGCCACGGTGTCTGTTTGGTCGATGCACATGGTTACACAAAGCTGTCATGTCTATGAATTCAAGGAGTTTTGATTTAAATGATGTCCACTGAAACTATTGAAGGTACATTAGACTCCTCCATTATAGGCTAGTGAGAGTACTCTTTTGAAACAGCATAGTAGAGTGTACTTACCAGAAGGTTGTCGCTATTTGCGGAGGAGTTCGGTGGCCTGACAACTGCTAAGAGACAAGCATCACGCGTCTTCTTCTGTGATCCACCAGCTCGACCTGTTAGTCGCAGTCGGCAAAATTATGTCGGGAATAACAAAGGAATGTTCTGTAAGGGCTTCATATTTCGGGTAATTTCGATGGTAAATAACGACACCGGCACCGCGAGATGGAGTATCATTCCGAATCACTAACATCTCACTGAGTTCAATATCCGGATCAAGTATGTCGTTTGTGATCCAAGTTGCAGACACTGCTTCGATATCCTAAGTTACAGCATCATGTCGATGGTGCAGTTCCGGAAGCCTTGAATACAACGCTTGAGTTTTGATGTAGTAGCATTGTATTTGTCGACATATTAGGAGCTCGGTTCGCTGTGAGTGACCGGCACAAAGAATGCATTTCTGCTGACATTTTTTAAAACGGGTGTTTTTTTAATGTTTGCTGATCTGAGGTAGTAAAAACCGAGACCGGCTCATCTCAATGGTCAGTGGTATATTGCGGAGAAAAACAGCCGAAACTTGACATGTCCCGCTGGGTGATCGCTTAGGGATGAGCAAAATAAAGGCAAACCTAACAGCAGGGGATAGTGAACAGCCACAAATTTCCAACTTTCCGGTTACAGTGTCCCTGTCTGAGCGGTCAAGGGTTATCGTCTGTGGTTTCGAGGCCAAAATAGAGGCCGGTTGCTTTGCTTTTGTTTTTCTGCTGTTTGTAAGGGTCATTTCGGTTGCGTGATAGGGTGCAGTACGACTAGTGCACTGTCGACAAAAACTTTGGACATGGCTAATGTGTGGGCTGCAATTACAGCTTCTGAGAGGGTATTCCACGTGTGGCAAACAGGTAGCGAGGAGAAGTTTCTTCGACACTCTAACCGGCTGTGTAATAATGATAATACTGGGCATATTTCTCTTTAACTAAGAAGCTGCGTCCATATTTGGTGCAGGTCAAATATGTACACGTAGTACCACGCTTTTGTATGAGCAATATGAATCTGTGGTGAAGAAAAACAAAGGTATATCTCTCGTCGGTGCAATCTACGCCTCAACTAGAGATTACGATTCTTAGTGTACGTCAAAATCGCAAGGAGCAGGTTATATTTTTCGAATTCTCCAAATCAGTCCTCAAGTCTTTTGGTGGACACGGCTAATTGGTCGGTTAGATATTTCGGGAGGATTGTGAGGTTTTAAAAGATAACAAGTGTAGATAAATAAAACGTATAAGTGAAGTGCCAGAACCAGTACTCGGACCGCCTCCTGGGGACCTGTGTCTATGCGTGGGTTATTCTCTCGATGAATTTCATACACACTTTCATGCCCCATCTGGCCGTGTGCCTATGTGGCTTTTAAAGCAGGTAAGCCATCATTTATGTAAGTCATCTTTAGGGCTGGCTTTTTATGTATATTTTGTGGACAGTCAAGCCATCTGGCCCGTACCATCAGCTGCTTTTTTGAGTAGAGCACTTTTTTATCGCCTGGGAACCAATAGCAATACACCTTGCATGGGTATAGTTATTAGCGTTGGAAGCTTTAAATCCGTCACCTAAAGAGGTCGACCCAGTCGTTGTCAACAGTGAAGTGAAGAAGAATATAAAATATGCGCACAAGAAAGACAAACCAAACTGTACACTGGAAGTAGCAAAAATAATGTTAAGATTTATCAGCATTTGCTTGTATTCTAAAAGTACAGGCATTGATAGCGCTGAGTAATGAGATTTATTCTCTAATCCTGGACTAGCGCCTCCACGACAGAAAAAGTAATATATAACATTACAGCAAGAGTGTAAAAAGATAGTCATAAATAAAAAAGTAAATGACTAGGTTATGTCTCGATATTGGGTTATTCCGATCACATTTGTAGTTGCAGGATTTGCGTTCAATCCGATCGGGGCAGCCGAGGTGTGTAGGGACTGAAATCGAGGGGTTT